CCCCCAAAGTCCCAACTAGATTCACTTTCTGATCGAACGAGGTACTGAAGTCAAAAATCGAAGCACTTTTACTGCCCCAAAACGTGATGACAGACACAAAAAAAAAAACACACATCATGGTAAAATCAATACATTCATCGCTCCGCTCAGAATTTAAAATCGTATTAACGTAAGAATTTTTCCTGATATTTTTTTGCCATCACATATATTAATTTTTTATACGCAATGAAATTTTTAAGGTTATATGCAGTTAATTTTAAACTATATATGCTTCGAGCTTACACTATCTACCTATTCTATTATAAATTTGTGTCTAAATCTTTCGTCTGCATTGGCTTAAGAGTACGTAACAGTGGTATTTGTTGTCTCCGTCTTAGCAGTGCGTAATATAACAAATTTACGCTCAGCAGAACACTTGTAGCTCCTTTAGTTTAAAAATTACAGTGAATCAACTTATTATGAAACTTGATGATATATGATGTTGATGTTTTATTATAATTTATAATAATTATWACATAAAATATATGTATGCTGTGTTCTTGGAAAAAATTAGATTAACTTCTGAATTATTATTTAATACAAAACTAAATTACTAATAGTACCTATAAATAAATTATAAAAAATCCTTAGAAATAATTGAGGTCGTCACACCGTCTTCGCTCAAAACCATTTTTCGTACATGCATTACATCTTATATTCATTTATTATTAGATTCAAATTTAATATCTAACAATGAGTAATGACTTATTCAATAATGAGGAACACTCGAAATCTACTACAGCTGAACAGCTGACCACCTTCTCTGGGTTTTTTTAAAATTTTTTGGAAACTTATTCAATTTGCCGTTTTTTTTTTATTGATAATTTAAGAAAATTAATTAACAATATAATTATTTAACTACCAACGAAGGGCACCCCGAGAAATAAAAACCAGGTGATGGGAAGTAAAAAACTTATGATAATTCATCACATACTATATTTTTTTTACGAATGATTAATCATTTATATCCCCCCTCGGCCCCCTTTATATCCTGTTTGGATCGTGGCCAGGGTGGAGTACACAATGTATGAGTTACCTAAATGGCTAAATATTTTATGATATTTAGTTATAAAAAAATTCTTTAAATWTAAAAATGTCTAGGCACGTCCCTGAGTCTGTACTTTCAAGATTTACTATACTTTATATATCATAAGGATTGATTATCTACAACGTACATTTTTTTTCGTCAACGTACATCAAAATGAACATGAAAAATTAAATATAATGTAATACTAGGAAATAGTAAAAGAAAATATACTTATTATTATTAATTTCTTCGTATRAATATTAGCTTTAATTCATGTTTGTATAAATTCGAATATCTGAATAAGCAGCACAAATATTTGATAAAATAAATAACAACATGGCAGTATGGCACTATGGCAGCTCCGGCACCGGCACGGACACCGGGTGGCACTCACGTCTGACGTCATATTTTGTGCTGCTATCTAAAAGTGGCCGCAACCATATGTTTAAACGGCAACGTTGTAATCATACTACGTAAATCAGGAAAAAGAGAAGAAAAAAAATCCAATATTTTGTGATAAAAAAATGTGCTTTTTATCAGTTATTTAGTATTCTTCTTCGACATTACGTTTACTCGTTTTTTCGGTTTTATTTTCGTATTTATTTATTTTATTTAATYATCAATAGAAAATTWTTCGTTGTAGGCGTTCATTAGACACCTAAATATTATTTTCTTAATTTAATGTATAAGACCAATGATCATCAATTCGCAGGAAACACCCAAATCTGATGAAGGTATTTTACACAATCTAGTGGGCAGGTTTAAATTCGTTAAATTAAGAAATTTGATCTATCTGCTTGTTGTTGTTATGACTCATTTAAAAGTATATAAGTGATTTTGAGTTTGTATTTTTCATTTACAGAGAACGGTGCTCCATATGTTATATACAACAAAGATGGCCACCCTCAACAAGGGCCTAACAGCAGTAATTCCCAATGGGGTCCAGGGCCTTCACAAAACGGTTATCCAGCTCTTGTATCATCTCAACATGAACCAGCTGAACAATCCACTGAACAGGCATCTCAATCAACGATTGCTTCACCTTTACCATCACCATACCCTAATACCAATCATTCGATTCAAGGTAAGTAAAAAATGTAGTTCATCCAGTACAAATATAACTTTATTTCAATATCTTGAATAGGTTCTGGAAATGGTGGAGAAGATGAAACACCACCAGAAGACAATGTAGTTGAATCTGATCGAACCCAACCAGGCCATTATGGTCCAGCCGACCCTTCCAATTACTATTCTGGTGTGAGAGGAGGCCCTCCACATATGTTGAGTCCATCAAGTTTCATGTCCTATTTAAAGCAGCCCGGTGTCATGTTAACACCGTTAAATCCAGCAGAAGCGTCTGGTGATTTTCCTAATATGCCAGACCTTATTCACCAACAACAAGAAGCATCAGGAAAAAAAGGTTCTGATCTGCGTCTATTCAAATGTCTTTCATGTGGCAAAGACTTTAAACAAAAGGCTACGCTAATGCAACACGAGCGAATTCATACTGACTCAAGACCATTTGTGTGCAGTGATTGCGGTAAACGATTTCGTCAACAGTCTCATCTTACGCAGCATGTGCGTATCCATGCCAATGAAAAACCATTTGTATGTGTTTACTGTGAGCGAACCTTCAGACAGCGAGCAATCCTCAACCAGCATTTACGGATTCATTCGGGTGAGAAACCGTACGGGTGTGGAGACTGCGGCAAGGCTTTTCGGCAGAAAGCCATCCTGAACCAGCACGTCCGCACTCACCAAGGCGAGCACTCTCATTCCTCGTTAAATAGTAGTGATTCCTCAAGTTCACCTCCGCCCTCGCAACTTCACACTAATTTAAACGCTTTTCTCAAGTCTTCAGCTGAAGCGTTTAGAATGAAATACTACCCGAATTTAAGTGATAGCTCACAAGACGAACAACAATTGAACAACTCTAATTTTAGAAATGTTGCTTCTAGATTGTTACAAAACAATCTTAAAATTAAGCAATTAAATTCTTCTACCTATAATTCTTTATCTAACAGCCCCAAAACTTCTTTTAACTTGTTTGATATACCTACAAGATCTTACCCAAGAACTATTGTTAGGACAAATATTGCTCACATCAGAAATGAAGAAGGTCTCCCCATGAGAGTTGTAACTGAAATTGAAAAAAAATAAATTTTGACCCATGTTAGGTTAGGATATGCAAAAAATCTTAAATTAAGTACTGTTTTCAGGATGGCTTGCAAAAAAAGTTTCTCTGCATCCGTATGATTAAATGTTATGCTACCTATTATAATTGCTGTTTACTAATACACGTTTTTCTGCCTATTGTCACTATTTCTCAACGTATTAACATTTTTTTWAAATTAATCAGATATTATGTGCTTTTTAAATTGTGGAGTGATATTTTAAACCATGCCTGATCTGTTTTGATAAAATGATAAGTTAGCTTGATCAACATCCTTAAAAATGTTCTTATTATTATAATTGTTTTTTTTTCAATATTTTTTAATATAATTTGTAACATTATATTTTTCTTGTAAATAATAAAAAAGATATTACATTATTTTATGAATAATTAATATCTAGTATTATTTAGATTGTCTATTGAGAGTTAATTATTATGTACAATAAACAATTTAAATTAAATAAAATTAAACGTGGAAAATGATAACAATAGGTCTGAATATATTTTATTTTCAGTTAAAATTTATTTTCCATTATTGTTAGTAATATAATATTTATACCTATTTTTTTTTTAGTTAATTCATTAACTTAATTTGCATTTTTGTCTTATTTATGTTTGTTTTTTTTTTTTTAAATTATTTTATCCTTATAATTTATTTAATAGGTATATTCCCTTTCATGTTATTCCTTTTGATGTGTACAGTTTTCAAATTTAAAGACAAATATAAAATTAAATCTTAAATGGTATTCCTGATTATTAATGTCGAGCACAACTTGAAAAACATGAAACATAATTCATAAAACTTATTCATTGAAGTGATGAGTTTTAAAGGTATTGTTGTGTTGTCTGTCTGGTGGCTTCAATCCGGTTCGGAGCGGCATGTTCTTTTAAATTAGTTACGCTGCACATGGATTATTGGTGATAACGTCCAAGGAGAAAATGTCGCTCCGCTCAAGGAAGGTGAGATAAAGCTCCATTCAGCAACACAGGAGTTCTATGTCTACAAAATAAAATTTTTAATTTAGTTAAACTATTAAAAGTTAAATGAAAAATATAAATTTTAACTATTAAAAATGGTTTTTCATTTATAATTAGTAGACATAGAACTGTTGAATATTTTACATTGTATGAAATATTTCCTATATCTTATATTGAATTTATTATAGTTTTTAATTTTGAATTAAACATTTTTGTGTTCGACAATCATTTTATTCCTTTTTAAATTTGTTGAGTTTCTAACATTAATATTTAAATATTTAATTTCATTCCTAAAACAAACATTTAGCTTCATTTGTTTTTTATCTCAAAAGGCTTGATTGCGAATTCCTAATTGCTAAACTTGTAGAAGACTTAAAGTAAATTTTAAAGAATTAAGGTTCTCATTTTTATGATATTTTTAATTTTTCTAGATGTTGGTCCACACTTAGTGTATAAAAATGGGCAACTTTGGCCACAAGATGTGCCATTGCCGCAATCTAAAAGTGGACAATATGATTCAAATGATTCGTGTTTTTCTCCAGAAAATGCTCCTCAGTTCCCTGCATATTTTAAAGATGCTAAAGGTAACCAAAATTAATTGGCTTTTGTTGTTGMAAATTAATATATGTATTCCTCTTTAGGTGTTGTGCATGAAATTTTTGGCCAGGCTGGTAAAAGTCTACCTGATGTAATCCAACATGGTCGCAGTGCTGGCATGCCACTTTATGTTCGTTGTCCAATTTGTAATAAAGAATTCAAACAGAAATCTACTTTACTTCAACATGGTTGCATTCATATAGAATCTCGACCTTACCCATGTGTTGAGTGTGGTAAACGATTTCGACAACAGTCACACCTCACCCAACACCTACGTATACATTCAAATGAAAAACCATTCACATGTATTTATTGTGGAAGGAATTTTAGACAACGTACTATACTAAATCAACATTTACGTATACATACTGGTGAGAAACCATATAAATGTTTGCAATGTGGCAAGGATTTCAGGCAAAAAGCCATCCTTGATCAACATACAAGAACTCACCAAGGAGAAAGGCCATTTTGCTGTCCAATGCCAAACTGTCGTCGTCGATTTGGTACCGAACAAGAAGTAAAACGTCATATTGATAACCATATGAACCCTCATGCAAATAAGCGAAGATCCGAAAGCGGTAAACCAGGCAGGCCACCACACTTAAATACTATACTCAATCAACCATCAGGCATTGTGAAACCAGAATTATACTTCCCACAATGCTATGCAATGCCATCACCTTTTGCAAATCACCATCATCCTCAACAAAGTTTTGTATCTTCTTCTCCAGTTAATCATGTTCCTCCACCTCCACCAGAATTTAAAGGTGCATCAACAGTAGTTAACAATACAACAGATTTTAAGTCACCTGCAAACCTTACAACAGCTGCAACAATAGCAGTTGTCCAATAAAAATTTAGTTAAAAAATGTACGGTTACTTGTCAATTATGATTAGTACTAAAAGTGGTGAATGTGATATGTTCTGAACTTTTGGAATGGATAATTTTATTATTTTTGTTAATGACGAAACATATTTAGTCCGTGAAACATTAGTTGGGAAATTGTTTCTCAAAAAGACAAACCCTTGYGTTACCATGTTGTTCTCTCTAAAATATTCTTAAATTAATACATGTTACCAATTAAATATAACTCATAAAACTTAATACTATGGTGATTTCTGTTGTGTATAGTCTTAACAGATAAAAATTAACTAAACATATTTAAATATTTTTCCTTTAACATTTTTAATTTTGTTATAGAATTTATTTTTTTTGTTATTTTTCTTCATATTTTATGTTTTTTTTCTCTATAGACTAAAATTTTGTCTTACTTACTCTAAAATATGTCTTACTTAATAACTATTATAATTATCCTATTGGATAAATATTATTATGGTCTTCAGTTTAAAATTCTACTAAAAATCATTTATTATCCAACTATTTAAATAACTAAAAATATTGAAACGTTGAAAATTGTGTATGAAAACTAAATAGATACTTATTTTTATACTTCCTCCATAATTCAATAGCCATTCTAATTGAAAACTTAAGGCAAAAAATTGTATTCACAATAAATACTTCTAGTAATACTGTTAAAATAATATTTAAAATTATGAAGACTTTATAAGTCTATTTTTTATTTCCAAAATTATTTACTATAATATGTACCATTTTGCTCATTAATTGAATAACATTAGGGTCATTCAGTTTAATACCTACTTGGTGGAACTAGTAGACTTGCTAATCATGCATGTATCTTCAAACCGAGAAATATGTATGCTATTCAGTGTGTTCTTTGTATGATCGTAATTTTGTTTTCCATTTAAACAAATATTTTGTATATATGAAGAAAACAAATAGATTAGACATACATTAATATGTATATATTATTATGAATGTATACGTTTAAGAGGTTATAATTATTTTAAAAATAAGATTTTTTAATATTTATTATTTAAAATTAGAATAGCCCTATAATATAGGGAAGTTTATTTATTTTTTTTACCTATCAAATTTGTTAAACTACAAGTTATAATGTGTTTTGTCTGAAAAAAAAAACATTATAATGTAAAATAAATTATGTGCTATTAAAATAGCAGTATTGTATAATATAACATTCTTGTGAATCTTTTATTTTTATATTCAGTTGTTTCAAATGTAACAACAAAAAATATTTGTGATTCCAAAAATTGAAAATTATATTGTATAACCAATTTAAAATACAAATGAGCTTCTTCAACAAATTTATCTTCCTTTCCTTCTTTAGAAATACAAACTTTAAATTTGTCTAATAAATTTTTTCACCTACCTGTCCTATCTTAATAATTTKACAAGTGTATAGATGAATCAAAAGTGAAGATATTATTATTTTGAAGTAATCAAATCTAATGTAGGTTCCCTAAATAAACTTATTTTTCATAAACTCTTCAGTAAAATAAATAATTTATGCAATATTATTTGTCTGACTCCCRTGTCTTTTTGTATATTTGAATATTTGATTCTGTTTATTATTCATATAATTTACTTAATGTGTTAACTGCTATTATTAGTATAGTCGTATAGATCATAAATATTCTTTTAAATAAAAATTGTTTTTAATTGAGAATATTATAAAATAGCAAATTGCTATGTACCATACATCTTGTTCTTAATCAATATACATTACACATGTACGTACAGTATTATGATAAATGCATGCAAATATTGGCTCATAAATGGGTTGTTTTAAAATTTTCTAATCTGTGGCATACTGGCATAGCTTTCTTTAGTGAAGATATTGGAAAGTGAATTTAGAATGGTTAATAATAAAATGTTATATCAAAATCATAAGTAACATTAACAACGTTAACAAAATCAGCTTAGGTGTGTTAGGCTTCCTAAAATTAAAGAATTAAGAGGATATCAGCGCACTATTGGTTTCCTCTCTCTGATTCACTCGTAACATAGAAAACACGCATTTACGCAGAATCATTTTTCCTGTCTGTAAGTAATTTTAGAGTAAAATCTCCCATTAAAAAAAAGATAGAGAATAATATTTTTGAGGGAATGACATCGCGATTTGTCTAAATATTGTCTCTAAATAATTTCAACATCATTTAAATGTACGGTATTTTTTTATTATTTAGAAATTGGAATACAAAGTCAAATATCAATAAGACAATAAAATATAAAATCGATATGCCATTTCCTCAAAAATATTATTCTCTATCTTTTTTTGTAATGGGAGGTTTTACTCTAAAATTACTTAAAGACATAGAAAAAATGATTCTGCGTAAATGCATTTTGTCTATGTTACGCGTGGATCAGAAATAAAACAAATAGTGCGTTGATATCCTCTTAAATTAAATATTTTTTGTCTTGGACTCTTGGTTATAGGTATATAAAAAAATGTAAATGAATAAAATGACATGGAACCCTATAAATTCAGTGCCGCCGCTACTGGTGAGCAAAGTGTGCAACGCACACGGGCCTCCAACTCTAAGGGGCCTCTAAAACCAAAAACCAAAAATGAAAATCGTCTATTTCAATATTTTTTTTTTTGCTCTATCGTTCTACGAATATTTTTAGATTTTATGCTTAACAATTAAATTAATTATAGACATAATTATTAAGTATAGTATAAATAGAATGCAATACGTCATTACAGTGCTAAATAATAATAGTAGTTACTATTTTTAAGCATTTTACAATGTCTGCTCTACCCGATGGGAATCTAGACATACTGCAGTATTTGCATTTTGCAAAAGAACGGTTTATTGATGTAATCAAATGTTTAACAGTAATATCACTTACAAGTA